CTTCTGTGCAGAGCAGGGGCGAGCCACTCGCAGAGCTCCAGGAAGGTGTCCCTCTTCATCCTGAAGTTCTGGGTCCACTGTTGGTCTCCCCAGCGCTCCAGGACGATGCGGTCCCACCAGTCGCTGCTGGTGTCCAGACGCCAGATGCGGCGGGGGATGCCGGTGCCCGGGCACTGCTGCAGCTGTGCCATGGCCCCAGGTTAGCCAGGCGGAGAGGCAGGGGGCTGATGTGCACCAGGTTGAACCAGGCATCCTCCAGCCATTGCTGGCAGGCTTGCAGTAGCAAGTCCATAAACTGCACCAGAAAGTGCAGGGCGAGCTCTGGCTCCATGTTGCCACCTGCGGCGGCAGCCCCGAAGGGAAGCACCGACACAAACAGGTGCAGAGAAAAACGCTTTGCTGTCCCTCGGCGAGGTAGGCAAGCAAGCGGAAAAACTGAGAACTGGCTGTCCAGGGGGGGTCCCTTTAAGCACGAGCCTCAGACAGCAGCCACACAAAGCAACTACTGACCTGATGCCCTGCTGGAACCGGTTTCAGCCGCCCTTAAATGCACCTCTGTGTCCAATCAGTGTGGACGCGCTAGTTCGAATTAGCAAAACGCTAATTCAAACTAGTTTTTAGTTCTAGATGCGCTAGTTCGAATTAGCGCTGTAGTGTAGATATACCCTCTATGAATAGTAAGGGACGTTTCGGAATAGTGCTTTATTAATTTGGTGCTGTGTAGACAGTGCCAAATGACGAAATAAGCTATTTCAAAATAGCATCGCAATAAGATACACAATTTGAGCTATGCAAATTGTGTATCTCATTTTGAGTTATGGTGCAATGTAGACGCAGCCTTTGTGACCCCTGAATCATAGCTTTCACTCTGGAGTGACTCATGAAACAATAGGCTGTAACGTCCTACTCTAGTTCTCCAAAGAAAAAAGCTAAAGTAAAAATACTGCTAAGATTTATGTTGGTAAGTGAGGAGCCTATAGTCCTCTCTTGGGGGTGGGACGAATTTAGTAATATGGATCCCGTTGGAGCCACCCAATGATAAAAATGCAGAAATTGCTTAATATGCCAAAGACTAGCAAAAGTCACACTAATGATACCATTTGCTAGGAGTTGTCAGTGCTATTTTCTCATGGACACCAGGGCCCTCCCCTTAACTTTGACCAATTGAAGGCTGCATTGGTAGATGTTCAGGAGCCTGAAGACATTAGTTGGAGCTGCTAGTCTCATGAGGCATATGTAGCTTTGGACTTTTGAAAGCAGCCCTCGAACAGGAGCCAAGGGCCGTGGATATTGCTACTTTCAAATATGTGAGACTCCATTTGCTCTCAGCAATCTTTCTTCTGCGCTCCTTTCCCTTCCTTATGGTGGCTTTGCTTTATGTTAGAGAACGTGATGACTACCCAGAGACCATAAACTTCATGTTGACTATCCTGCTTTACATGCAAGGTACAGAATTATTAGAAAACTTATCAGTATTCACATTCTTGAGTCCACAGGGCATGGTGGCATCAGCATTGACCTTTAGTTTCAAAATGTCAATGCATCTCACTACAGTCATTGCCATTGTTTTCTTTTATGTTTGTGATTTTTTTTCTTTCACTGACTCTTTTGTTTTCTTAGCTGGGGCTTTGTTAGATTGCTTATTGAGAGTCTTAATCATTTAATTAGTACATACTACATTAGTAGATATTTAAATTGTATTTTAAGTAATAAAAATAAGTAGCCAGGATACAGAGCAAAAGACTCATCCACAAATACCCAATTAATGAAAACAAGACACCTTGCATTTATGAAGGCTGCTATTTAAATATTGTGTCTATATTTTATGCCTTGCGTGACTTGATCATGAATATAATACATGGGGGTTCAAACTAAAGAAATTAAGAGATGCAGTAAATTACCAGGAATGAAGATGAAGGGATTTCTTCCTATAAGCCTCCATCTATCTTTACTTAGCAAAATACTTAAGCATGCTTAATGAGATTCAATATGTGAATCAAGTTAAGCATGTGCTTATGTGCTTTGCTGAAGAGGGATGGATTTAAGTATGTGATTGTATACTTTGATGAATTGAAATATAGTACAGTTAGGCAGTGGATGATATAAGATTGATGGTGGTGATGTACAACTGGATGGATTAAATCTACAGTGTCTGCTCATGTGAATCTTCTTACTGGCTACAGATAAGGGCTGCAGAATCAGGCCTTTTACTTAGGCTACATCTACACTACAAATTCAATGAAACGTACATTTCTTAAGTGCTTAAATAACTGAGGCCCTGAGTGATGTAAGACCTAAGCCCTGGGGTATACAGTGCTATGTCAAGGGAAGAATTTCTGCTGACATAGTCACCATGTTTTACAGAGGTAGAAGAGTTATTAAGCTGATGGGTGAGCCTCTCCTGTTAGTTTAGAACATCTTCACCGTAAGTGCTAATGAAGTTGAGTAGACATAGCCTTAAGAGTCAGTTATGTAGTCTCTGCCCTTACTATAGGTATCCATGTGACTGGTTCTTTATGCAACAAATGAAGGCTAGCGCACGGTCAAAATCTTGCCTTTTCCTTAATGTACATGCAGCTTTCTTCCAATAGCAAAATAAAATGACATTTTTGCATCCTTTTTGACTGATGAAACCTCAGTCTGAATTTCGTACAGGAAGTAATGGATCACTATGTTTTATTCTTTTGTCTTATTTCCTTTTCTGTTAACAGGGGAAGCTGGAGAAAAGGGGGAGAAAGGTGTTCCAGGGAGGCCAGGGAGAGTTGGACCTTCAGGAGAAAAAGGTAATTTCTTAATTAGATTAAGTAACTTATTCTTGATCAAAAGTTTTCCTGTTAGAGGATTCTCGTTGTCCATGTTTTTATGACTATGGCTTCCCTGACCATTTCTCTGTGCCCTGCACACCCCACTTGGAGACTGTGGCTACCATCTCCTGATCAAAGAGACTCATTTTGAAACCTGTTAATGCTGTTTCTTGATTTACTTGGTGATCTCTGTTGAGGAAGACATTTCTTTATGGAGCCTCCATGTTACTGCCTGGCAGACACCTGCTACATATTAGTGAGAGACATTTGCAGTAGGCTATTGGAAAAACAAGTTCAAAACCTCATTTTCAGACCTTGGTCTCTGCTTCTGTTTGCACACACACATGCATGCACCTTTGGCGCATTAAAAGTTGTGACTGCAGGTGTTAGTGTGTGCACAGGCAAAACCTGTTTTGTATGACTTTGAGTCAGTTGCACGCTTTCGCTGGTCTGGTACCCTTGGGACCTGACTGGTCCTGGATAAGGGAGTTTTCTAGATCAGGAGAGGTCATTTTAGGGCCCCTGCTGCGGGACCCTCCCTGCTGTGCACCTTCCATGGGTTTCCTGGCTCTCCCCCCCCCCCACAGCCCAGCTGAGCCACGTGCTACATCCCTGCCTACCTGAGCCATGCGCCAGCTCCTAGACCTTACTGGTAGGAAGGCTTATTTTTCAGACATGCTTTAAATCTGTATCACCAAGTACCAGGCCCTCTCAGCAAAATACAATTATATAAACTATTCAAAAGTGAATGACTTTATTGTGCAGATAAAGGAGTTATATTGTGACCAACTTAAGGGTATTATTCAGGAGGGCCAGTTAGTGGAAAAGACATTGATTCAATCTGCCCCCCTTGATGTGACTGACAGAGCAGCTAGTGTGGTACAGTGGGCATCTAGGCATCATCTGTCAGGCTTCCTGAAGGAAGTATAGTCTTCTATCGAGAACTTCCCTTTCGAGGGCACACACCTCTTTGCAGAGGAGACTGATGCCTCCCTTCAAATCTTGAAAGACAAAAAAAAAGACAGTTTAGTCCCCGATTCCAACATAGACCACACAAATCTCAAAGCCAGCCTCAACACCACTATGAACAAGAAAGAAAGGAAAATTTCCTAAGGGGATCAGGATCACAATCTTATTTATCCCAGCCCTCTGTGTCCAAACACCAGTTTTGACAGGTAGGAAGAAGAGTCACTAGACTACTCCCAACTGATATAGCCAATCAACACTTTACAACAAATTGGCCACCGATTGGCAACATTCTGGGAATGCATAACATCAGACTGATCTTAGAGATCATCCATCCATTTTACCTTCCTCGCCACTCCACCACACCACTATTTTTTTTTCTGTGGTTGAGTGAGCCCCTCAGCACCCATGGAATTGGCACATAAGCTGCTCAGTAGCCATCTAAAATAGAGCATCCATAAGGACATAATCAAAGAATTTGTTCAATAACGATGATGGGTCTTTGAGATGTGTGTCCCTATGGGAGCTCCATAAGTCACCCTCCTCACCTCTATTTTGGAGTTCTTGTATATGGCTCAGTGGTAGAGAAGGAACCAAAAGGAAACCCACATATGCTGGGTAGGCTTGTGGCAGGGCATGAATAGGGACAACACATGTGCAGACCTAATGGACATCATTCCTGAAGTTCTCCAATCAGCAGCATTGGGACACAAGCACGCCTATGGTGGAGGGGTCACATCTAAAGAACCATTGTTAATACACAAGGGCTGTGTCTACACTGGGCCACTTATTCCAGAAAATCAGCAGCTTTTCCGGAATAAGCTGCGAGCTGTCTACACTGGCCCTTGAATTTCCGGAAAAGCAACGATGCTCTACTGTACAAAATCAGCCGCTATTCCGGAAAAACTATTCTGCTCCTGCTAGGGCATAAGTCCTTATTCCGGAACACTGTTCCGGAAAAGGGCCAGTGTAGACAGCCCAGTAGTCTTTTCCAGAAAAAAGCCCCGATCGTGAAAATGACGCTCAGGGCTCTTTTCCGGAAAAGTGCATCTACATTGGCCACGGACGCTTTTCCGGAAAAAGGGCTTTACTGGAAAAGCAGCCTGCCAATGTAGACGCTCCTTTCCCGGAAATACTTATAACGAAAACTATTCTGTTTTAAGCATTTCCGGAAATTCATGTCAGTGTAGACACAGCCAAAGTGAGTAACATCTTCATCTTCTGCCATCTAGAAAGGACTCAAGAGGTAATTCTGGATGTGATTCAGAAAAGTCTTTAAGCACATGCTTAAGTTTAGCATATGAATAGTCCCATTGGTTTCAATGAAACCACTCCTGCATGTAAAGTTAAGCATATGCTTAAATGCTTTTCCTGCCTCTGAGAGAAGAAGTGTGAATGAAACATCAGCAATAATAGGTGAGCTGCCTGTGGATTCTCTCCCAAAGAGAAACAGATGAGGTTTGTTTAATGAACTTTTGTGTCTGATGTCATTTGCCAGGGATTGTATCTCTTACCGTGCCTGTTCCTGGATAACAAAGAAAAACACCAAATATTACAAGAATTTTGGTAAAATCATGAGAGTTGTTAACATTGAAATTGAAAAACATGGCTAGTGCTATGAGCTGGTCATCACCTGGAGGATATTTATTTATTTCATATTATAGAAATGCCGAAAGGGCTCATCTGTCCACATGATCTAAGCTATTAAGTACTTCACTATCTAAAGAGCTCAACCTGTTACTGGGGAAGTAAACTTTTTGGCTCAGTTTTACACTTCTTTATGGGCCTCATCTTGTACCATCTTTTTCCATAAAGACATACAGTCTTGATATGAAGAGATCAGAGATGGAGAATCTCCCACTTCCTTGCTAGTTTGTTTCAATGGTTAAATGCTCTCAGTTTTAAAAAAAGTGCTGATTTCTATTTGAAATTTGAATTTGTTTGGCTCCAGCTTCCAGTCATTAGTTCTTGTTATGCTTTTTTCCCATTGTATTAAATAGTACTTTAGTACCCAGCATTTTCTTCCTGTGCAGGTATTTGTAAATGGTGATCAAGTCACCCCACAACCTTCTATTTGATAAGCTAAACAGATTGAGCTCTTGATGTCTCTTTCTAGAAGGCATTTTCTCCACCCCTAAAATCGTTTTTATGGGTCTTGTCTGAGCCCTATATTTTTTCAATATCCTTATTAAAATGAGGACCGCATAATTGGACACAGGGTTCCAATACTGGTCTCATCAATGCCATACAGAGAGATAAAAATCACTTTTCTACTCTGGCTTCCTTATTCTACCATTTACACATCCAAAAATCACATTAGCCCTTTTTGCCACAGTATCACACTAAAAGCTCATGTTGGGTTGCTTGTCCATTGTGACTCTCTAAATCCTTGTTCCTAGATGTATAACTTTTTGAATGAGGGTGTATTAAAATGCATTTTGTTTGAATGGGCTCAATTCATTTTTAATATTTTCTAACTTCTCTTGCTCATGGAAAGGCTCTCCAAGAAGATCATTTGGACTTTCCTCTTCTTTTGCTCCCTTCCTAGACCCTGAAGTCTTCTATCATCTGCATAATTCCAAGTGAAGATGTGTCATTGATTCCAAAGTGTATCATCACCAGTGGAGACTTGCAGATGACTTCCTGATCCAGTCCAATCCTGTAGTTACATTTCTTATTTTTCACTCCAGCGAGACAGTGTGTGGTTTGCATTCCCTCCCAACTTCCATCATCCCCAACTTCCTCATGCCGCTTCTGAATCACTCCTTTGACAGTTCTGTGGTCTGCTAGAATGGACTCCAGAGATGGTCCCCTAATCATAGTTTGAGAATCTTTGATGCAGAGGAATCTCTCTTTACATTGGTTATTTATAGAAAGAAATAACCTCTCTCCATGTGATTTATCTCATGGATAAATGAAATGGTTATCCCACAGGGATATTCAATCAAAGGGAAAAAGTGAAGTAAAGCAAGTATGTTGACGCCCTTGAATTACACTCTAGTTTGTTACCAGTCAGAGAGTGCTTCTGTGAGGATTGAACAAACAAACTCCCGTAGGGGTAGGGACACTGTAGAAGAACATCAAATCCAAACAGTTCTTTTAATGAGCGCAGGATAATTAATATATGTGTTTTCTGGGTTTGAGACAATGAACTCCTATTTCTGAGTAGAATGCAGAGGCTTCATTTTGCTGCTTACTTTTGCTAAATAGTCTGTTTTGTTTACATAAGATGTGAAGTCACAAAAAGCAAATTAGTAGTGTTTATATATCATGTTATATTTATGGGCTGAGTACATGTCTGTTTCACTTCAGACACAGCTGTTTGAAATAAATTATTAAGGACCCCTAGGACTGGGGGTTCAAACTTCTGACATAATGTTTTTATTATGACCCCCAGTCTTCCTATAACCAACGCATATGAGAGTGATCAAGGCCACTTTCTGATGAGCGTAACAAAGTCATAATAGGATAACCCATTTGGGAAATACAACCCCAACAAACCATTTGCATTCATCACATTCCAGCAAAAATAACTCCCTCTAGTTAATAGAGTACCAGAGACCAAACCCTGAAAGTGTTCAAGGACTGTTTAGTCCAGCATGTGAGCTGAGGCTATCTTCCAGACCAGGAGTGGGCAAAAGCCACGCAGCAGGCCGGATCCGGCCCACGTGGCTGTTCTAAGCCCCGCCCCCAGCGCGTTGCCTGGGAGCTGGGGCTGCGCGAGGCTTTTCAACTGCTTCTATTTAAAGGGCTCGTGCCTTCCCCATTGCCTGCCAAGCAACAGGGAAGGCAAACACCCTTTAAATAGAAGCAGTTGAAAGGGCTCGCAAGTCCCAGTTCCCTGGCAATGTGCTAGCAGCGCCGGAGCTGCAAGCCCTTTTAACTGTTTCTGTTTAAAGGGCTCGTGCCTCCCAGGTGGCTGCATTGCCTTTCAGCCACCCAGCAGGCACAAGACCTTGCAATTGAAAGAGCTTGCAGCTTTGGCCCCATGCTAGCCCATTGCCTGGGAGCCAAAGGCACATGAGCCCTTTCAACTGCTTCTATTTAAAGGGCTCGCACCTTCCATTCCAGGCTCCGCCCCTTTTATCTGAGGCCCTGCCTCAGACAAAATTTTTGAAGTGGCCCCTGCTCAAAAATTATTGCACACCCCTGTTCTAAGCAGTACTTTTCTGCATGATGGTACAGATTGCTCCTGTCTTTCCACAGGGATCTCATGCATTAGGACAGTGGTTCCCAAACTTTTCGGCATCACGCCCCCTTTTTGATTTTTGAGAAACCCTCATGCCCCCCCCTCTCAAAAAATAGCAGCAAAACTTGGGGTAGGATTGATGGGGGGGGGGGTGTGGCTGGGTCGCCTCACCCCCCCCCCCGGGAGTTTGTGGCTGGGTCGCCTCACCGCCCCCCCCGGGAGTTCTTCACGCCCCCCCAGTTTGGGAACCCATGCTAGGAGGAAAAGACCTGTGGTTTCATGTACAGTTTCCTAATTCCACAATGACTGTGTACACATCATTCTTATGTTTGGTTCTTTCCCATAATCATTTGGTGCATAGATACCAAGTTAAAGATATCTAGGAAATACCATAATATAAAACAAACATTGGTCGTGCAACTTGACATTTTGAATCAGGCCCATTAGCCAATAGCTTGTCAATTCAGATGTCCTTTCTGACAGCAATCAACACCAGAGGCATCTGACAAAGGTGGAACCTGAGCTTCTTACATCAGCATAATGCATCTACTGAGAGATAGTTGTGTGAAACTTCCACCTGAGGTAATAATGAAAGGATTTCTTCATGATCCTCTAAAGACTAGTTTTTGCCTGGAAGCATGATATTTGATTGACCATATCTTAAAATTATATTGTTTGTCATAAAATTAATTAGGTTTTTTTTTAAATCCAGCCAAAATATGTGACTCTGGTATGCAGCAAATAATTCCCCAGATTGACATCAATTAAACTATGACGATTTACATAAACTGAGGATCTGGCCTATTGTGTTTAGTAATATTTCCTTTAATTTGTCTCATTGAATGAATGATTCATTCTTGTGGGACAATGCATACAATATGTTGCAGTATTTAGAATAAAACTGGGTTACCTTTTGAGAAGAAGAGCATGTAGGATTTTTAGTGGAAACAGTTGTAGACCAAACTGATTCAGGAGATGTTTATCCAGATTGTCTCTCCTGTTCTAGGCCTCTCATGCCAGATCCTGAGAGCAAAGAGGACTGAAAGCTCATGAAGCACCTTAGCTGGTATATAGCTGGAATAGTTAGCTGCTATGCCATCCCCTGGGGAGTTCCTACTCTAGAGGTTTACTGATAGGAGGAGGGGGGAATGTAGTGTGCTCTGGCATGTTTGGCTGGGATTCCCAAGAGGACACAGCCAGCTGCCATTCACTCAGCAGTAGGATCAGAATGCCCTTTTGAGTCCCTTCACCACCTTATCTGAGGAAAGCACATGTAGCAAAAAACCAAGGCTAATCCCTTTTAATGATGCTTACAGGTCAGGGCAGAGACACTTCTGGGAAGTGACACTTGAAACAAGTCAGCTGACACAGCAAGTGTTCACCAGGTCCAGATTATCCCCCTTGCTGGCTTCAGAGTTGTTACCCTAAAGCAAAAAGCAACATTTAGCTCAGACAAGCTAAGTATATATGGCACCTATATATCAGCATGGATTTGCTTAGAAGAGCTGTGGACATACTGAGCATGGGTAGCCTGCTTTAAGCCAAAGCTCCCATAATATACAGGAGTACCCTGGCTGTGCTAGTAAAATAACCAGGTGTCAGGCACTGGTCGTCTTAGCATTGAAAATATTTTGGCTGTTAGTGTAAACAGGGCCAAAACATTTTCAGTATTTATTACAGAAAGTATTCTAGACCCTGGATAGCAGGAAATCTCCCATGCTTTGAAATAGCGGATATTGAAGTCTGTTGACACTGCCTATATCAATATGGGATAATGATTTCCCATATTGAAGGGTGTGAAGGGGGGCCACACTTGAGTCTTCTTGGCTCACTTTTCTAGCTCGGACACATGGTGAACCAAGTTCCACTTTTGACTAGGGATGTTGGAATGTGGCCATTGATTGCAGCCACTGGATGGGAACATCACTAGTGATTAAAACTACTTCAGTGATAAATGACATAACAGATAACTTATGGGGAACAGAACAGATAAATGATACCAGGACCCATTCTATAGTGATTCATTGGTCAGATAATAGGTTTCTCTTCTTCAGCTCACTTTGTGTGATTTGTGATGATAAAGTATGGATCATACCTCCTTCTACACCTGTTTGCTATGAGCCATCTGAATATTCTGTTTACATGGTAGAGCCAAGAAAAAAAGGGGTCAAAGTCAGATGAAGGCGGTGAATCAAAACTTTTTCTCTTAAATTTTTGTCTGTTGACAATTTGTCAGCTTTTGTAACATGCATATTTATCCTTTATTCATTAAGAATTGCCGAGGAAGATGATTTTCAAGTGGCTCATTTAGCACAACTCCACTTTAAAGTACTGCATGGTTTCTTCATTAAAATTAATAACATTTCACATTCCTG